GTTGATCGAGGTGGTGCTGGATTGGGTTTCAATGAGGGGCCCAGTTTTGAAATGTTGTCCCCCCGTCCAAAATTCCTAACGGCGGGCCTGCTTGGAGGTCCTACTCTGCTCCCTGAACTCCTTCCTCTTTAGTTAGCCTGGAGAAACATGGCAGCACACACACACACACACACACACACATTAGTGCATCACTCCTTCTCTTCATCTCAGTACTCTAAACAACAGACATGTGTCAGTACCTATGGGAGAAACAAAGGGCAGCAGTCACCAACACCAACACCACCAGCAACACCATCTGCAGAGTCAGCGGCCTGACGACCACTACGATGAGAAGAACTGTTGGATCTGATCAAACACATGGATAGTCATTATATCACATCACACCACACACCATCATATGCCATTAAACACAAATTGTAGTGACCTGGAATCTCCCAAAACCACTTCAACATGGAGCTGTGTGATTCTGTCCATCAGTAATCTATTGGTCGAGGCAGATAGCCTCCCACCCGAGCCATGGTTTTGGGAAGGAAGTTTTGCCTCTGTCTCCTAGTGCTGCTCTTGGTGGGAACTGGTGGGTTTCTGTAAATATCATCACAGAGTACGGTCTAGACCTGCTATTTTATGAAAAGTGCTCTGAGATAACTGTTATACTGCTATATAAATAAAATTGAATTATAAATCAACAGATATCTGAACACAGACTCTGGATGCAGGGGACAAGGACTTGTCTGACCAATCATGTTTGAGCGTGCTTTAGCTGCATGCAGGTAAGTAACCTGTATGGATATCAAAAGAGGCAGAACACATCCGTCCAAATGCAATCTAGCAACCTATCAGGTATCGCCCGACAGTAATTATATATCAATTATATATAAATTTTATTTATGTAGCACACTTAACACAACCAAGGTTGACCAAGGTGCTTTACAGCTTAAAAATACAACAATAAAACATTATATGATATATAGTGTTATTAAAATCGCCATGGCTAATAACTGACTTAACTCGAAGGAAATGCCAAAGAAAAAAAAATTGTTTTTAACTGATTTAAAGTCTTTGAGAGTTGGGGCGGTTCTGATATGGACTGGCAGGTTTTTCCACAGGTTAGGGGCAGCTACACCTCGATCGCCTCTGGTTTTAAGTCTGCTTCTGGGTACCTCCAGGAGGAGGAGATTGGCAGATCTCGGCACTCTAGCTGGAGTGTGAACGCGAAGAAGCTCCGTTAGGTAAAACAGAGCCAATCCATTAAGACATTTAAAAGTTTGAAGTAAGATTTTAAAATCAATCCTGTACTTAACAGGAAGTCAGTGGATGGAGCACAACACAGATGTGATGTGGTCTCTCTTTTTCTTTCTTGTCAGGAGGGAGGCAGCAGCATTTTGGACTAACTGTAGGCGTTGAATGGATGACATGTCTAAGGAGTTATAGTAGTCAAGACAGGAAGTTATGAAGTTGTTGATCACCCTCTCAAAATTTTTAGGAGGGAGATAGGCCTTTACTTATATAGTATATAGCTATAGTTCTCAGCTGGAAGAAGAAAGATCTAACAGTGGCGGATATCTCTTTATCAAATTTAATCGCACTGTCCAATACAAGACACAGATTCCTCACAGTTGAGCGATTATTTAAAGTTAAAGGGCCGAGAGAATACACATCAAGCAGTTCAGGATGTTTCATCCATGTTTTGATTCATCCATGTTTTGATGTCCTTCATACAGTCAGGCAGCGGCTGTAGTAGTTTTTACATTCATGGCAAATAAATTAGTACATCATCTGCAAAACAGCTGAAAGAGACCTACTTCTCAAAAATGAAACCCAGGGGAAGCATATATCAAGAAGAAAAGATAGGGCCTAAGACAGAACCTTGAGGTATACCACAAGTAAATGGTGCCGGTCTCAGAGGAATAATCACCGAGGTGGATAAAGAAACTCCATTCTGTTAGGTAGGATTGAAACCACCTAAGTGCAGTTTCTTAAATTCCTACACAGTTTTCCAACCGTGACAAGAAGATTGAGTGGTCAACAGTATCAAAGGCAGCAATGAGGTCTAAGAGCACTAGGACGGCAGAGACTCCTGAGTCAACAGTTAAAATCAAGTTTCAGTGGAACTTTTTATAAACTATCCATCCATTTATCCATCCATCATCAACCGCTTACCCTGCGCACAGGGTCGAAAAGGAACTACAGAGTCCAAGATAGTTTAGAGTCCAAGAGTATTTAAATGAGGGTTTAGCATGTTTTAATGGTTTCCGGCATGCAGAGTCGGGAGGGAAAGCAGCCACTGCGTAAAAACCTTGGTTTGTTTAATTCAGTGCGTCCAGAGTATGTGGAAATCATATGTACCTGCCCATCCTACCTAAGATTGCACAAAAGTTCTTTGGACAACACACCTGAAAAACACCAGAAAAACAATTGAAGGCCTCTGGTTAAATTTCCTGTGTTTTTTCATATCGCAATATACATCGCATTGCAATGTCAGTTTTTACCAAAGTTTTTGTGCAGCCCTAATGGAAACAGATTTTTCAACTGCTCTGCTTCAGCTTACCTGAGACAGTGAGAGACAGCCGACGGCTCTCAGAGGAGAGGTCATGAGGAAAACCATGGACGTGATAAAAACAGCTGTAGTTTCCTTGGTGGGCGGGCTCTGCAGCAGGAAACAGGAAGTGATCAGTGTGATTGACAGCTGGCTGGGTGTAGTTGTGTGATGCGTTGGAGGAGGTGAAGGCGAGCTGGAAGGAGCCTCCTGGGTACTGTGGCTGGATGGAGCAGCTGATGGTGAAGGTGGAGCCCCTGGACACCTGAAACCGCTGCTGCTGGGCCTCGGAGACCCCGTCCCCGGAGGAGGACACAGAGATGTTGGGCTGAAGCAGCAGGTCTGTCAACACACAGATCATGAAAGGTCACATTCACCCTTCACAAAACAGAAGATGAATAAAAGTCCCTGTTTTTCCCCACCAGAAACTAAAGTTCATCCAGTTTGTTGCACAGTGAGTCTACGTTGGAGAGAAATTATGCCGGTAGCGGTGTGTGGAGTCCCCTACGGCAAAGACACAAAAGTGACCCAGCTCGTTTTCCTCTCCTGCGGCGCTTCACCGGACAAACAACAGCGAGAGAACCCTTCACCAAATGTCCAATAAGTCCACTGATGACGCGAGAAAAGTGGGAACTAAATCCGTTGGAGTTGTTCCCCTGATGTTCATGAGCTCTTCTCTGGTGAAAGAGCACCGGGAATCACAGCTGAAAACCGAATTAACACACAAAAACAAAACAAAGCCCACCTAACACCGAGGCCGCTATACCCAGCGCCATCTTGGTCAGAACATCTTGACCATCTGGTGACGGCGCAGCAAGACGGTGCAGCAAGATCAATCTGGAGCTTAACGCTCTGAATACAGTGGAGATGGTAGTGGATTTTAGAAAGAGCACAGCCAAACACCCCCTCATCATACTGTGTGACTCCCCAGTCGACACTGAGGACTCCTTCTACTTCCTGGGCATCATCTCCCAGGACCTCAAGTGGGAGCTGAACATCACCTCCCTCACCAAGAAGGCCCAGCAGAGGATGTACTTCCTGCGGCAGCTGAAGAAGTTCAGCCTGCAAAAGACAATGACGGTGCACTTCTACACCGCCATCTTTTAGTCCATCCTCACCTCCTCCATCACCATCTGGTACAAACGTATCATTTGCTCTGCAGAGAAGGTGATTGGCTGCAACCTTCCATCACTTCAGGACCTGTACGCCTCCAGGACTCTGAGGTGAGCAGGAAAGATTGCTGCTGACTCCTCCCAACCTGGACACAAACTGTTTCAGACTCTGTTTCGGACTGGTCCATCAGGACAAAAACCCCTCGCCACAAAAACAACTTCTTCCCATCTGCAGCCAGCCTCATTAACAAGGCCCATGTCCCTCACTGACACTACTCCTGTAGTAGCTCAGTCTAATACTGAGGGCTACTGAGGTGGTTTAGCCCAGGAGTGCCCTGGCTGACGCGCTGTACCCTTGTCTTTCTGTTACTGTACTGTATCGTTTAAGAATCTCCAGGCTTTGTTGTGTTGCTGGTAAATAAGTTTATTTGTTTTACCATGCAGAGTAAAATGTCCATTTAGCCTATCCAGTTTCAACGGCAAAACCATATCCATACATACAATAGAGTGTCAAACAAAAGATTTCAGCGCCAATGCGCCACAGCGGTCAAAAACCCTTTGCCCTTCCGGGTCAAAAACACCTGCCTCCAACAGTTTGGATGCTACCTATATAACCTTGACCCCAGGTAATATTAGAGCGACACCCAATGCACAAACAAGACACAACACCCAATATCTAAATGAACAAAACAACAAACTTGGCTCCTACAACTCCCTTTCAAATAATACAAATGGATCTGCCATTTATATTACTATTTCATATCTCACACAGCCTGCCATTTTGCACATACTTATTGATGTTTGCTTTTTTTTTTGGAAGCTTCCAGAAACAAGCCCACCTCTCTACTCTTTATGATGTCATTGTCCTGGAGAACTTTACAGTTCAGTCCAATGGAAACCACTGAGACACTGAGACAGAGGAGAGGACACACTGGAGACATTACTGTCATAGATGATGTCACTGATGGGCTTACCTGAGCAGGTGAGATCCAGGATGGAGGAAGAGGAAGCTGATCTTACACACTCCCTCAGAGCAGATCCAGACTGTACACAGTCAGACCAGATCCACCACACAGGTCTGTCTAAGGACTGGTTTCTCCGTCTTACAGAAACAGCAGAGCCACAGTCCAGCTCTCTACAGGCCACAGCTGCTTCCTTCAGAGTCCAGTCAAAGTAAGTCCCTGGTCTCCAGTCTCCCTGATGTTTCAGCTCCAGTGTTCCTGCACAGCGACTGGCTCCTCCCACCAACCTGACAGGCTCTGAACAGAAACCAGAGAGTCATCAGTAAAACAATAAAGTGAGTTTCATCAGAACAGAAAGGAACCAAATCAAAGCTGCAGCTCCTCTTCTACCTGAGCAGGTGAGTCCAACAGCTTTTCCAGGTGAGCAGGTGTTTCTAGCTGAGCCTGAGCTTCTACAGTCCAGGAGAGCAGACTCATGGCCTCCACACTGGAACTCTTTGGTCCACATCGGAGCCTCCACTTCTCCATAGAGCGCCCCCTGGAGGCCTGAAGGAGCCCCACAGCCGAGCTCCCTACAGACCACCTCTGCATCCTGCTGGTTAAAGTCAGCTTCACACACTGAGGACCACCTCTGGTTAGACTGGTTAGACTGGTTAGACTTCACCTCCAGTCTGCCTGAGCACAGACTAGTCCCGTCCAGCAGCCTGACAGAGTCTGGAGAGATAATAGAAGATGAAATAGAGATAAAGACACAAACAACAGCACAACATCATCTGCAGATGTCTCTGTTCTGTTTCCTCTGCTCAAGAACTCCACGATCTTTGCTCTCCACACAAACAAGTTCAACACTTTTTATTCTGTCTTAATGTTTTAAGAAGATCTGTAACCCTCTTTAGAACATGCTCAACCAATTGTAACAGGTATAGGGCCTGGACGCTCTCCTCACATTTCTGTAAATATTTGATTATATATTTTATGTAAAGTAGTGAGTGTGCAGCTTGTATAACAGTGTAAATTTGCTGTCCCCTCAAAATTACACATCACACACCCGTTAATGTCAGAATCAGAATCAGAAGGAGCTTTACTGCCAAGTAGTGTTTTACACATGCGAGGAATTTGCTTTGGTGGTAAGTTTCTACACGTAGGAAAACATATAGTTGACATAAATAAATATAAAAAAAAAAAATATATATATATATATGGAATAGACAATCTAAGTTATATAAGAATAATAAAAAGAACAGAGATAATAATAAAAAATAATACAACTATTTGCAGAAAAAGAACAGCGTTGCAGATATTTACATGTGCATTATTCCAGGTTTGTGTTGTGTAGACGTATTGCAAAGTAAGGGAATATTGTGTACATTAATATATAAATTGACGATGTAAAAATGTACAACAGCAAAGATCTACAAATATGTGCAATGTGGCAGGTTTGTGCATGAAATTAAATAATAATCACACGTGCAGAGACATTTGTATTATTTGCAAGGAGGGACTGTGAGTGGGGGACCCGGGCCTTGTTAATGAGGCAAGCTGCAGACGCGAAGAAACTGTTTTTTGGCGAGAGGTTTTGGTCCTGATGGACCGCAGCCTCCTGCCAAAGGGGAGAGTCTGAAACAGTTTGTGTCCAGGGTGGGAGGGGTCAGCCACAATCTTTCCTGCTCACTTCAGAGTCCTGGAGGCGTGCAGGTCCTGAAGTGATGAAAGGTTGCAGCCAATCACCTTCTGCGCAGAGCGAATGATGCGCTGCAGCCTGCCCTTGTCACTGGCAGTGGCAGCAACCAGATGGTGATGGAGGAGGTGTCGATGGACTCAATGATTGCGGTGTGGAAGTGCACCATCATTGTCTTTGGCAGGCGTAACTTCTTCAGCTGCTGCAGGAAGGAATCCTCTGCTGGGCCTATTTTGGGCCCTTTTCACCGTCTAAACCACTGGCAACAAAAGTGAGTACACCCCTAGTAAAAATGTCAAAATTAGTCCCAATTAGCCATTTTCCCTCCCTGGTGTCATGTGACTCATTAATGTTACAAGGTCTCTGAGCTGCAGCACAGTGGCCAAGACCATACAGGGGTTCAACAGGACAGGTTCCACTAGGCCTGACCATGGTTGAGTTTAGTGCACATGCTCAGCGTCAAATCCAGAGGTTTTCTTTGGGAAATAGACGTATGAGTGCTGCCAGCATTGCTGCAGAGATTGAAGGGGTGGGGGGGTCAGCCTGTCCGTGCTCGGACCACACGCCGCACACTCCATCAAATTGGTCTGCATGGCTATTGTCCCAGAAGGAAGCCTCTTCTAAAGATGCACAAGAAACCCCCCAATCAGTTTGCTGAAGACAAGCAGACTAAGGACATGGATTACTGGAACCATGTCCTGTGGTCTGATGAGACCAAGATAAACTTATTTGGTTCAGATGGTGTCAAGCGTGTGTGGTGGCATCCAAGTAAGGAGGACAAAGACAAGTGTGTCTTGCCTACAGTCAAGCATGGTGGTGGGAGTGTCCTGGTCTGAGGCTGCATGAGTGCTGCCGGCAGTGGGGAGCTACAGTTCATTGAGGGAACCATGAAAGCCAACATGTACTGTGACAGACTGAAGCAGAGCATGACTCCCTAGCTTCGAAGACTGGGCCGCAGGGCAGTATTCCAACAAGATAACGACCCCAAACACACCTCCAAGACAACCACTACCTTGCTAAAGAAGCTGAGGGTAAAGGTGATGGACTGGCCAATGTTACGCCCAGCTTGTTGAAGAGCATAACAAAGAGGGAGGTCCACACAGAAAACAGTTTAAATGAACAAAAGGATTTATTAAAGATAACTCAACTTACAATTAACTCAAAACAGAATTAAACTCAAATTTAACATACTCAAAAACAACCAAAAGAAAAAGGAGCTCCTGAAAGGCACCTGCTTTCCAGGAGGGAGAGCCGGAGGAAGAGAGAGCCATCTTGGATTCATCATGGCTTCTAATGAATTGAACAAACGGCCGCAATCACTGACGAGGTGTGTGTGTCCAACCGAACAGGAAGAAAGGCCTGGAAAAAACAGAAGAGTGAGACGGCCAACACCACACAGTCCTAAGGCCCCAGGCCGTCACACCAAGCATGTCTCCAGACCTAAACCCTATTGAGCATCTGTGGGGAATCCTCAAATGGAAGGTGGAGGAGCGCAAGGTTTCTAACATCCACCAGCTCTGTGATGTCGTCATGGAGGAGTGGAAGAGGACTCCAGTGGCAACATGTGAAGCTCTGGTGAACTCCATGCCCAAGAGGGTTAAAGAGGTTATATTATGCTCATTTTCGGTTCATCATCCTATTTAGGGGTTGTACCAGAACAGGTTTACATGGTATTATTTTCCAAAAACACAACTGACATTGCTGCAGCTCTTCTTTTCACCCTGTGTATTTTATCTATAGAGTGATGCATCTTGACTCTACATGATCTTTATTGGGAGTTGCACATGCGCAGTTCTTAGTTGAGGGCTACTAGCCAATCAGATGCACAGTAGGGCGGGTCAAGAGGTTGCGAGAAGCCGTTAAACACAGCTTTGGTTCAGCTATATATGTTCCCCTTACCAGTGTGGTGTCCGAACAATAATGCTGCGATGATGTGTTGAGAAGAAACCCCGCTTGACACTGTTCTTGATCATAAAAGTTTATTAAATTGAAGAGTTCAGCATCAATTACAAGCTCTGCAGACCCAGCCCGATGACCACTCTGTCTCTCTGTACATCAAACACAGCTTATATAGGACATGTTTAGGTATCTGTTAGGTACCATAGAAGGGTCCAGTACTATCTTGAGGTAACAGAACAAGGGGTTAGAGGTCAAATTCTATAGAAGGGTTCAGTCCCTACATAACCACCAATCACTGCTCTCCCCGTAGAAGGTCACTGACCCTCTGTCCTGCTGACACAGTGCTATTTTGAACTTTTATGAGTCAAATGCATTAGTATTGGATACTACACCAGCTTGGCAACATGGACTGGAGCAAGAGTTTCGGAGTGGTGAGTTATTAATCTGTAACAAATGTATCTTTCATCCATAAAGTTTTACCTGAGCTCTGTCTCTACATCACAGGAACAACTTTCTGTCCACTGACTGCCTGGAGGGTAGCTAGTGTTTGGAAGTGAGAGGAGAGGCAGCAGGCGGACATCTTGTCACTGTGCGCTGCAGCTCAGTGTTTTTCCACCACTTTTCTTTTGAGGGTGTGTTGGACTAGCCGCTTGGCGAGCATTATGACAAGCATTTGCTGTGTCGTCACAGGGATAAAAAGGTAAATGGCTGGGCTACAAGCTGTTTTCAGGCAATTCAGAGCATTGTTTTCTTTACAGTTGTGTCATTCAAAGAACGTTTCGTTCATTTGACCTAATCAGGAGGAACGAGTAGTCTGAGGGAGTATTTTGTTCATTTTCACACATGCGTGAATAGTTTTGGACTCGTTCACTCGTCACACGGCAGCTGCATGGGGTCTGTCAGCCCTGCGAGCAGAACTGATTTTTTCACGACTCTCAGCTGTGGGTCTCTGGGTTTGAGTCGTTCATTTGTCCCGTAACAGCTCGGCTACTGTGCAGCAGGAATGAACTAATCGTTCACCTCTCACATAGGTTCTCCTCATAGTCTGTCTTCACTCGGCAGGCTGAGTTGCTGCCAGCGCAGGAGAATGAGAGGCCAGGCGGTTGTCAGGTAACAGTCACAAAACTGACATTATATATTTATTTTGTTAATTATGTGACATTTAATAAAACATAACGTTATTACAAAGCAGTGATGTTGTCCTAAAGTTTTAACACAGCAGTACAATAACTTTAGTCCTGCTAGTGTTTACATCTAACAGCTGATGAGAGTTGTTCTGGGTCCGCTCCACTTCACTGTCCTGACAGGGTTCTACCGGGAGCCGAATTACCAAAACAAATGGACCCGGACATTAAAACACAGCCACATAGGCTGAATAGGTGATCCGGTCCGCCAGAGAAAACAACGTAACCTTTCCTTTTATTTATCAACAGAGGCGTGCTGTTGTTCCACTCTCTTGACTGGTGAACAACCTGGCAGTGTTTGAGAGCGATGTGGTCATGTTTGTTTCTCTCTGTCTCAGAATCTGGAACTGATGTGGCCCATTCTGCGTCCAGACCCGCCAAACTGCTGTGTTTATATTATGTATTTATTTCTTTGTTCCTCTCTCTGTGCTGGAGTTCTCCTAAACTCTTGGTGGCTTTATCTAGATTATTATTAAATTGATTGAATTTTAATGAGTGTGTTTTATTCTTATAGTGTGACAAGCCTATTACTTTGATGTTAATATATAGATCATAGTCATGGATAGGGACGTTAGGCTACTGTATTAATGAGCACTTTAGGGATATAATGATAGTAATTATAATTATATACATATATATGGCTGGTCTGGTTGTATACTTTGTCAATTAAAACAAGCCAGGCAGCCTTCTGTGTTTGAGTCTTTAATCGCCCATCAGAGGGCTGCAGTGCTGCAATAACCAACCTAGTTCAAATGAACAAAAAAAGATTAGTTCATTTTAATGAACGAGATTTAATGACTCAAGTCCGTCAGAAGAGTGACTTTTCCCATCACTAGTTTTCTATGGGAGATAGGAACTTCCTTTGGGGTGGACTTTAGGCTCTTTCACTTTGCAAACCTGCACAAAAAAATTATATAAATCATTAAAAGGACAGGAAAAAACGCCAAAAAGCACAATATGTCCTCTTTAAAGGCTTTCCTGGAAAATAATGGTGGACACACAAAATATTGACACTTGGGCTCAGTTTGGACATTTTCACTTAGGTGTCCTCCCTTTTGTTGCCAGCGGTTTAGACATTAATGGCTGTGTGATGTGTTATTTTGAGGGGACAGCAAACTTACACTGTTATACAAGCTGTACACTCACTACTTTTCATTGTAGCAAAGTGCCATTTCTTCAGTGTTCTCACATGAAAAGATATCAAATATTTACAAAAATGTGAGTGGTGTCCTCAATTTTGTGAGATACTGTATGTATTTTGATGAATTCCGCACCTGATTAACAGAGGCAGCAGCTCAGCAGCTACTAGAGATAGTCTGCTGCCATTCTTGCTGGTGAGTGTGTGTCAACCTGGGTACATTACTGTCATAGATGATGTCATAGATGATGTCACGGATCGGCTCACCTGAGCAGGTGAGATCCAGGATGGAGGAAGAGGAAAATGATATCACACAATCCCTCAGAGCAGATCCAGACTGAACACAGTCAGACCTGATCGACCACACAGGTCTGTCTGAGGACTCCTTTCCCTCTCCTATAGAAACAGCAGATCCACATTTCAGCTCTCTACAGACAACAGCCGCTTCCTTCAGGGTCCAGACAGAGTCAGAGTATCTCAATGGTCTCCAGTCTCCCTGATATTTCAGCTCCAGTTTTCCTGCACAGCGACTGGCTCCTCCCACCAACCTGACAGGCTCTGAACAGAAACAAGAGAGTCATCAGTAAAGAAGTGAATTCAAGAGACTAAACTAAAACGTGGCTGCTGATTCTGCTTCTGTGATTCTTTCTGTCTTTACCTGTTGAGGTGTTTTGTCCTTCAGCCTGAAGTCCTGTGATTGGAGCACAGCCGTGGACAGAAAAAACACTCAGGTTGTTTTGTAAAGAACTTTCCATCAGTTCAGAAACATCTCAGTGAACTCACTCTGGAGTCATTTTACCAGTTTACTGTAGGTGAGATGAACATGTGGATACACAGAACAGCAGCCAGCAGACTGGTTTATATAGAGTTAAAGGAAAAGCTCAGCATCCAGTGAAGTATGCTCGCTCTGCTCCACTTCATCAGGATGGAAATCAGTATGTGGATTTATGCAAGGAGAGCTGCACAAACACAAGTCAATAACTCAAAGCTGCTTGAATCTGCTGCTACGAGACAAAAAAGAAAAACACAGCAACAAAATAATAATTAAATAAAGCAGAATTTTATTATTATTATTATTTATTTTATTATTTATTTTATTTCCTGGGAAGAGGAAGGAGAGAGAGGACAGGGGTTTTGATCAGGGAGGCTTGATAATAATTAAAAAAATAAACTAAAAAAACAAAAACATTTAGGTGAAATAAAAATAATTAAATAACCTACTAAATAAATAAAAAACGAAATGTCTCGATCAAAAACTACAACTAACTTTTTATTCACGGTCGTAGTTTAACACCAGTGTAGGCAGTCTGAGTTGTCAACCCTGAGTTTGCTTGATAACCCTGAGTTTACTCTGAGTAGGTTGAACTCTCTTCATAGTACAGGCCAGTGGTCTGCAAAAAACAACATGGGGTTAGGGTTAGCCATTCAGAGGCAGAGTGGGGGCCAGGACACGTGGTGGAAAAAACACATTCCAGTTTGTAAATTTTTCCTGGCTGCCAGAACCCAATATCTGTTCAACCTGTTGCTCTCCCGTGTTATCCCTACTGACATAGAAACTGTCACATACTTTATATACATTGTACACAGTAACTGAGTAGAGTTCAATACTACCCCATTAATGCAACAGATTCTGCTCATTTTACAGCTCTAGATGCAGTTTGGTTTGATCTGGTTTCACTCTGTAACAAACACATAACACAGCAAAGGTAACTAAGTTGGGAGGTTTATCTAATGTGACTACAAAGTTAGCATTAGCGCTGATAGCCTTGGAACAATTCCACATCACTCAGGAAACAGGAAACAGAGTGTTTTCCTGTTTCCTGAATGTTTCCTTTCTGCAGACATTTAAAGAATGCATAAAAAAACACCAGTTCTCCCCTTTATTAATTTCACTTTTACAATCTGAAACTATGTTTTGAAGAATCTTTAGAATTTCTGGAAAAGTGTAGTCCAGATTTGACAGTTATGGTCTTAGTGGTTTTACTCTGGACCTGGTCAAATGTGGGTTAGCCTACAAAAAATGTTCCATAGAGGATCGGTCACTCAGCAAATTAAGTCAGTTTCCTCTATCTTTCCCCTTTTCTGTTGAAACAAAAGCTAAATTCATTTATTCATAGTCCTACCTGAGCTCCACAGCAGCAGCAGCACCAACAAGTGATCCATGTCCAGGTAGACCGTCTCACTGCCGTCTTCCTGCTCTCTGCTCTGATCATCACACATGCTGCTCTCAGTGAATCTGCCTACAGGAAGAGGTGGAGGTTCACTGCAGCTGCATGTTTCACCCGTAGATTAGTTCTTATACCGGTGTCCAGCAGCAGAGGCTTCAGAGCCTTGGGGATGTTTTTTGTAAAACCCCAAATTAAAAAAAAAGATTTAAAAAACAAAACAATGTACGAAAAAACATAGCAGATCGTTATATCTTTCATTGGAACACTATGTAAATAATGGAATCAGAGTGTACCCCGCCTTTTGCCCGATGTCAGCTGGGATTGGCTCCAGCCCCCCGCGACCCTGTACGCAGGATAAGTGGTTGATGATGGCTGGATGATTATATCTTTTCAAGTGACAAAACTGAAGAAGTGACGCTACAATGTAAATTATTGAGCGTACAGCTTGTATTACAGTGTAAATTTGCTGTCCCCTCAAAATAACACATCACTCACTGTATGGCCTTGGCCACGGTGCTGCAGCTTAGTTTCTTGGCAGTCTTCTTATAGCCTCGGCCATCTTTATGTAGAGCAACCATTCTTTTTTTCAGATCCTCAGAGTTCTTTGCTATGAGGTGCCATGTTGAACTTTCAGTGACCAGTATCAGGGAGTGTGAGAGCGATAACACCAAATTTAACACACCTTTTCCCCATTCACACCTGAGACCTTAAAACGACTCAAATCACACCGGGGAGGGAACATGGCTAATTAGGCCCCATTTAGACATTTTCACTTATTAAGTCTTCAGTGTCACATGAAAAAATAAAACCAAATGTTCACAGAAATGTGAGGGGTGTACTCTCTTTTGTCAGATACTGTACATTGAATTAGACATGTCTTACAAAAAAACTATTAATGTATTCTAAAATGTATGAACTGCAATTAAGACAATTAGACACCTTAATTGCAAATGTAAAACACCAAAACACACGATTGGAACTTTTTAAAATATGTATGAAGATGTACCAAATGTGTCTCAACATGAAAAAAAATATTATTTTGCCCATATAAAATGACACTGGAGAGATAGTGCTCTGACCCTGAGATTAGGTAAAAAGCTGCATGTGCTGAGCCACTGCAGCTCACTCGGATGATACTCTGATGCGTGAGTGTCCCAGTGAGTTCCTTCTGTAGAAGACTTGAATAAAATTCACAGAAAGACAAGTGTTTGCTTGAACGGTTTATTTGAACACCGATAATTCCCACCACAAGAGCAAACCAAAGCTGTACAATTCAAGATTTTATTAATAGAAAATGTTTAAATTAACATCTACTAGCTCCACATGAAAATACACTCAGACCATTTTTTAACTGAGTACAGTACTATTTTACAATGTTGAGAACAAAAATAGTAGTTTTTTCAAGCGTTGGCTGAGACATTACCACATTTTATCAAAATCTCTTGGGTTTTTGAGATATCTCACAAATTGACGAATGTGACTGAGTATGTCTTTGGCCAAGGATAATATAAATTGCAAGACTGATCTGGCTTTGCCTTGATTTATAAAGATCTAAACCTGAAACCCGGGAACCAAAACATCTGTGCTGGTTTCACATTTATGTCCTGTGTTTAACCGTTAACTGATGAAGGCAAACTACCTCGTCCATCCTTGATGATCTTCTGGACGATCTGCAAAGCAGAGCAGGTGCAGTGGACTCCATAAGGGCTGATGTATATGCTGGGAAAGGGAAAAACATGTTTATATAACACAGCATCACAGCAACCTCTCAGCTACCATTGTGGTTAAAATGCAGAACTACAGAGAGAAACCTGTAGAAAAGGCAGATCATGCAGTTCACAAGTTGTACATGTGTGAATAAAAACCCAGAAGTAGAGACAACACATTGGACATTTGTAAAAGCAAGTTTAACAATGTATGCTTATGTGCTGCAAGAAGCGTTTTGACTAATTTCTGTTTCTGGTGCTTGTGTGTTGGTAGCGTGCTTTGCTGCTCTCGCTAAATACCAGTTAAATTTGTTATTACAGCAGCTAACTGTCCTAAGCACTCACAGTTCTTTCCATCTTTTAGTGACTGTCGTTTAATCTCATAGTTGTTTTCAAATGTTTTGGTAGCTAACGCTACCGTACTTTAGCTTAGCAGCTAGCGATGGCTTCTCCTTCTCCCTCTCTCTCTCCTACTTTCTCCTGCTCGGTGTGTCAGATGTTCAGTTACTCCTCTGCCTCCTTTAGCAGTAATGGTACATGTATCAAGTGTAGTTTATTTGTAGACATGGAGGCGAGGCTCAGTGATTTAGAAGTCCGGCTCCGCACCTTGGTAGATCAGTCTTTAGCTACTGTAGCTAGCCAGTCCCCATTAGTCGGTGCGGAAGGGCCTGAGTTAGCCTCTCGTAGCCGTCCCCCGGCATCCCCTGCGCAGCCAGGAAGGAGGGGGGGCTGGGTGACTGTCCGAAGGAGGAATAGTCGTAAGCATTCAAAGTACATGGGGCATCATCAACCTGTTCACGTTTCTAACAGATTTTCCCCACTCAGCGACACACCCGCTGAGAAACCAACTCTGATCATTGGCAGCTCCATTTTGAGAAACGTGAAGTTAGCGAAGCCAGCGGCCATAGTTAAGTGCATCCTTGCATACCCAGACTTTCTGGGGAAGACCTGGTCTGATTTGAAGAAACTACATTCATCCCACTTGGAATAAGGAAGCTCTCATTTTTAGAAATCTGGCCAAGTTTATTAGTGGACCAAATCCATGACAACCCAGAGTTGAGACCAGGAAGCAGAGTCGCACAATTCTCTGCTCCTCTATTTCAGGAGTTACCTAGCCCACCATTGAAATGATTCAATTATTAAATCAAAGGTAAACAGAGCAAGAGCACGAGCAATAGTGCAAAAGAATAGGTCAATAAAATGTGGACTGTTAAACATCAGATCTCTCTCTTCTAAAGGTGTACTAGTAAATGAACTAATATCAGATTATGATATTGATTTATTTTGTCTTACTGAAACCTGGCTGGGTGATGGAGAATATGTTAGCCTAAATGAATCCACCCCTCCCAGTCATATTAATACTCACATTCCTGGAGGCACAGGCCGAGGAGGTGGAGTTGCAGCTATCTTCGACTCTAGCCTACTAATCAGCTCTAAACCTAAACTAAATTATAACTCATTTGAAAGTCTTGTTCTTGGTCTTTCGCACCCAAGTTGGAAATCACTGCAACCAATTCTTTTTGTTACAGTGTACCGAGCACCTGGTCTGAATTCTTATCTGAATTTGCAGAGTTTTTGTCAACTTTAGACCTTAAAACGGACAAAGTTATTATTGTAGGGGATTTTAATATTCATGTGGACGTTGAGAATGACAGCATTTGTGAAGTGTGAATTATTGCAAAAATATATCAAAACTTAAAAGAACAAACAACAAGGCAACTAAGTACAAACTATTCGAATTATCATCACAAACTGATATTAAACAACACAAAAAACTATATTAGGCCCTGACTATTGGGCTCTAGCACATGTGCACAACAGGCCAACACCGTTCTACCCAGAGGAGCCTCTGCCTCCTTCCTTAATACCGGAAATCCCTCCTAAAAGGGAAACCAAAGTTAATTGGAAATCATTTAAACACCATTATGTTACCTCAACATTCCCAAACATTTCTGGCTACAACAATACACAACATATCAACTATAAAACCATAAATTAAATGTTACATGCTGAACAAAGGCAACAGCAAACTTCAGGTACTCCAGTACACCCCTCTGTACTGGCTCACCCTTGGACCATTCCAGGTCTTCCCCCTATTAATTACTCCAGACTCCAGATTACTTTCTGTTTGTCACTTCGACCCAGATCCCTGCTTGAAGATGAGAACAGGTGAATGAAACATGCAAACATTTGGTTGACCTTGGGTAAAACCAATAACCTAAACTAAATGACTTGAAATTAACTGTGAATGTGTTGTATTATTCAAATCATGATTTCTAGTCTTTTGACTAGTACTTATATGAACTGAAATTAAATGACGTGAATTGAGAGGTCACGTGTCCATTAATGCTAGCCCACATGCTATGGTAATACAAATGCTAAAAGTCCTAAGCTAATGTTCATGCTAAGGTTAGCTTAGCAGGCTGAGACCAATGCTACCATTGGCTTAAATGACAGCATGGGGTAGCTCCATGACAATCACCAAGTCCCAAAGTAACAGAGGACTCCTATGCTAATTTCAGTCCCTCCCAAATCGATCATCTTGTTGATAGTGCTGCAGGCTCGCTGCGAATGACACTCGACTCTGTAGCCCCTCTAAAAAAGAAAATACTAAAACAAAGACGGTTAGCTCCATGGTATAATACTGAAACTCGCAAATTAAAGCAAATATCACGGAAACTTGAGAGGAATTGGCGTTCCACCAAAGTGGAAAATTCTCGTTTAATTTGGCAAGATAGTCTTAAAACTTATAGGAAGGCCCTCCGTAATGCCAGAGCAGCGTACTACTCGTCATTAATAGAGGAAAATAGGAACAACCCCAGGTTTCTTTTCAGCACTGTAGCCAGGCTGACAGAGAGTCACAGCTCTATTGAGCCAAGTATTCCCATAGCTCACAGTAGTTACGACTTCATGAGCTTCTTTAATGATAAAATTCTATTAGAAACAAAATTCTAACTATTAGAAACACCGACTTATCTCTTAACTCAGGAACCTTAGAAACAGCTGTAGAACCAGATACATGTTTAGACTGTTTTGCTTCCCTCAGTCTTTACCAACTAACTTCAATAATTTCTTCATCTAAACCATCAACCTGCCTCTTAGACCCCATCCCGACTAGGCTGCTTAAAGATGTTTTACCCTTAGTCAGCACTTCTATACTAGATATGATCAATCTATCTTTATCAACAGGCTATGTACCACAGTACTTTAAAGTAGCTGTAATTAAACCTCTTCTGAAAAAGCCCAAACTTGATCCGGATGTTTTAGCCAACTATAGTCCTATATCTAACCTTTCCTTTCCAAGGTTCTGGAGAAAGCAGTTACTAAACAGCTGTGTGACCCAGATCAAGCCCCACAGAGT